TGGTTTTGGCAGTATAAGTTGTTGAGTGTTCTACAGGTTAATGGGAAATGAGGTTTTGTTTGCTTTCTTTTGTGATGTCTTCAAGTTATGGAGAAAGAAATATTTAACTTCTAGAACATACGCATACCTTTTAATTTTCCCAAACCATAAGTGGGAACACTTGATACTTAAATGTTTGCCAACTCTTGAGTACTTACAACTTGTATTTGTATGATCTTAATATGCAGGTTAAAATTGTGATTTCAGTCCTTAAATTTGAAAACATTAATTTTTTTCTGGGAGCTGCTTTTAATATATATTTCTTCCCATTTTCAGGTCTTTGTTAATCAGTGTCTGTGGTTTGGTTATTTAGTTTTGTAATTTTGTAGTACAAAACCCAACCTAGACTGATCTGTTTGTTCTCAAACAGATGTATGGGCTTTTTCCACAATATACAAACACGTGTACAGAGAGGAGGGTTGCACTGAGGCTGAGTAATGTTCATAACAATTTCTACGTAGGATGTTGAAAGTTCCAGGGATTTACCAATGGTAAGCTTCGTCTTGTAGATGTTTCTGGCTCAGAGCAGCAGTGAGTGGAAGTGGCAGCTGTCTGACAGCTGTTGGGTGACCGAGGTGAAGTGAGTCAGTGCTATCAAACCAGGCCTGTACCAGTATCCTAATTACAGCTGGTACTAATTGACACCCCTTCTGGCAGTCTCAGTAGAGTTACTGAATCAAAACAGTGCACCAGACTGGTCCCCTCATTTCACGGCTTTGGCAAGAGTTAGCTGAAAAACTTTTTTTTCAGCTCACTCAAAAGAACCATTTAGTCTTGGTTGAGTAGACGGTAGTTTTCATTACTGACAAGGGATCGTCACTTCCTGACATTCTATCTATTCAAACATAGAATTTATAAGAGTAGCAATGGTGAAAGGATCAAGAGCAACTATCGTTATATGCATGTAAAAATATTGAAGTGCCATGAAAGCATAATCATAGTTTTCTGTGAAATTACTTGTGATTGATGTCACAGTAACCTCTGTGACTACTCAGAGAAACTAGGTAAGAGAAAACATTTTCTCTATTTATTTTGTAGAAGTTATATTCATACTTTACGTTTTTTTTTCCCTGTGTGTATCCCTCTCAGCTGAGGGAAATGAAAGTGAAATATCTTTATGAAGCGTTATAAAATATCACGTTAACTGAAAATGGAAGAGCCAGAAATGCATTAGACTTTGAGCTCTTTTCTCTTGAACTCTTTCATATAATTGAGAAGTATGGATCCAAGTGCTATCTGTCAGAAATACTGTACTCTCTGTCGTAGTATAATATAATGAAATACTGTGTTATGACCTGAATTGAAGGGTCTTGAACCTGAGGTCATGTCTTATCTTTGAACTATTACAGACAGTACAAGAAGTCTGGAAGCCCTTGAGATTGTTTTACAATGAAATCTATTAAGACCCCAAGAACTTCTGTAGCGAGTGAAATAACTTAATTATTTTTGAAATTGACTTACATTGTCCATGTGTACCCACTGTTCCTTTACATTCGTGGGGAACACTTTTTTCCTTGGAGAATGTCAGAATTAATGAAGAGAGACTGTGTATGTTGAATATTCTGAGAAGTTAGAAATTGCTTGAAGCAACAGTTGGAAATTTACTAAAACTTAGCACACTTATAAAATCAAAAATGCAAGCCAAATGGAAGCTAAAAATGTGACGAGCGTTGTCTGATTTCATGTCCTCACGCCATCACCTTGTTGTCTTTTCTTTCTAAATACATTTAAGTTGGTGTTTAACCTTTCACATCTTATTTCTCTATTTGTAGGTTTGGGCTACAAGCTATTCATAGTGTTTTTAGGTGTCTGAAATAGTCTGAGTATGTAGAGTGGTATTCATGTTCCGTGTTTAACATTTTTCTCTTACACAAGAGACAAGTGGTTTTAAAACATCAGACCACTGAAAAAGAAAGCGTAAAGAATTTCCCCATTCATGGGAAGAGCCAATGACCTGTAACTGTAGGACATACTCCTTTTTAGAGTAGTGTGCACAGTTTTTATTGTTTGTTTATTTGAGTCTGTTTTACAGCAACGTAAACAAAAATCTGAAGGCAGAAAGAATTGAAACATTTTCTCAAGAAGATCTTGTGCATAGCATACCGTTGGTATTTGGACAGAGGTATGAAGAATAGTAGACAAGGGAAGAGTTTATTATGTTTTAATAAATGCTTCTGAGTGCTTGGTGAAACATATTTTCTTGAGTAAATGTCATACTCATCATCTAACGCATACGTGTCCAACCTGCTAGTTCTATGTTTTTATTACCCTCTTTTTTATGTTTTAATGTAAAAAAAAAAGAAAGACTTTTGTTACTTACACACATTAACTATATTGCATATTTTATGTGCAACCCAAGAAAACTACTCTTAACCCATTGTAACCCAGGCAAGCCTAAAGACTGGGCACACATGATCTAATAGATGAGTCCCTGTCAACATTACCATCATTCCATCATTGTTACATTCTGTAAAATAAAAAAGGTTGACATCTGTATTTGTTTTGCTAAGATAATAAATGATCACTCATAGCTATGTATTTGGTTTGATTAATTAAAATATTTTGAGATAACTGAGGTGCTTGAAGTTGTTTCTTCTGATTCACACACAAACAATTCAAAGAACTGAAGGTTTTAATCTAGTTATTATTATCTCATAAAATGCACCTGCTTTTATTAAAGAAGTATATTCACCAAGACACCTGACTTCACCATTGTATAAAATCAATCATGTAACACACAGGTTATATATAAAGGCTTTATTTTCTCACAGATGAAAGGTTGACATCCAAATGTCCATCTAATTCTTTTTCAATCTTTATTTGTGAACTCCAGAACATTTTCTATCTGAAGCATGTGTCTCCAAACAGTAAATTTCAACTTACATCAAAATGCATGGTAATTTACCTTTTCCTAATCTCAAACATTTAACATAAATAGTTTCTTTAAAGAAATATAATGAAATTTCTAGCAAGATGCAAATATACTTCAAAGTATTTTTTTCAGAATGATTGTTAGCACAATACAGTGCTGTTTCACAGCTGCCAACGTGGGCTTACTGTTGAAGGAACTGGATGATGGTAAATCATATTTTTTTTTTTCATATTTCATTTGTTTTCATCTCCCACATATGGAATTGTAAAGTTCATTCATTTACAGAAGTTCTAAAGTTTAGAAATACTGCTGGGTTGGACAAAGTGGTGCAGAGTTTCAAGAAAATTCCTTTCATATCAAAGGGAAATGTAATCTCAGAGCCATCTCTAACTATCTAGTTTAAATTAAGCTAAACGTGTTAAGTAGATTGTTGTACTTTTCAAGAATTCAGTTCTCATTAGGCTGAATAGTTGTATTCAATTCAGAAGTGTGTATGTGTGAACATGGTATCCTTCATGAAATCTGTTCATTCAAGGTATTTCCCAGTTTTTGAGCTACGGTAAGTAGATTCATTCTACTCTAATGAGGATACCATTATATACCTACATGTTCTTCCACATGGTTATGTGTTCATAGCATCTTCCTTTTAATGGAGCATTTACTCTTTTTTCCCCTTGTAGCATTTCCTCACTCTAATTGGATGGGTACAAAAAATAGTTCTGATTCCCTCCTGTTCATGAGCCCTTTTAAAATTGTGATCTCTGGAGTCAGCTAGATAGAAATAATGCTAGTTGTGCTTATGTTAAACCGATCTGAAAAATGGATTAGACTTAAGCTGACGTTTTGAAAAAGTTAGATTTCAGTTGTTTTGAGGGGAGGTTGTGTTTTTTTTTTAGTTTTGTTTTTTTTTTTCTTTCCAAAATATCTATAACATTGACTCCTCAGAAAACATACAAGCATCGTCCTTTTATAGTAAGGTATTGTGCTTCCATCCACTCACCATTGCCCATGTAACTTCAACAATGATGTGAGTTAACTTTTAGTGTCTTGTAGCAATTTGAGTATGAGACTGAGGAGCACTTAGCCAGCCACTATCAGAGCTCTAATGTGGAGGCAGTGATTTCTTTTTATGTGCCGAATTTTACTGTTTTCTGTTTGTTTCTAGGATTGTTTGCAGGTACTGATTAAAAGATGAAAAATTTGCAGGTACAGCAGCACATTAGTTAAACTTTTAAATTTTTTTTTTTTTGAAATTTTAACAATAAGTAAATAAGTGATTTGCTTGTAAGTCACCTTTATATAGACTAGAATCTAACATATGTGTTTAGATGCTAAGAGAGAGCTGGGCATCTCAGAGATGTTCTTTTCCCTTACCATGCCACTTTTGTTCTCCAGTAGAGGAATCTTAAGCAAGAACCACCTTTAAAGCAAGAGAAAACAATACAAAGCACAAAGAAAGCATATAAAACTCTAGTCTCCACACTCTTTAGGTGCCTAAATCAAAGCAACTCTGTTACCTTTTATTAGCTTGTGATCCAGTGCATCTAATTTTGCCCAGTTATTTTTGCATTGACAGCTACCATAAAAACAAGTATTTGTCCCATGGCAAGAATTAAGGACTTTTTTTCCTGACAGAAGAGTATTAACCACAAGATTGGGCCATCAAATTCCATATTGCCTGCTTTTCTGTAAGTCCAAGACCAAAAGAAGACCATGCTTTTTTTTCTGCATTTTGGCATCCCATAACTAGGAGTCATGCCCAGAATAAGGAATACAGTGGTGGTACGTGAAAGATGACTCTGAGTTCTTCCATACTGAAAAATGAAATTTTATCAGGTTTCTGATTGGTCCTGAGCATTTTGGTGCTTTGAGATTAAGCAGGAAGGAAGTAAAGACAAGCTTAATAACCAGTGATTGAGTGAGTAGGATCAGTTTTGCGTGCTGGCACATGAGAAATACCTAAATTGTTACTTTGGAAGTAACGCTATTACTTCAGAGACAAGTGAGCATTACCAACTAATTCTTTCTTTACAAGATGAAAACACTGCACTGTTAAAAATGAGGGTTCTTATTTGTGGTTTTCTTACAGGAAACAGATTCAAGCTCTTCTAGGACAGTTTAGCCAGTCAGAGGCTTTGTTAATCTCATCAGGAGTTGAGCCTGGAACTCTAGATGGAGTTCTCTTGGATGCTGGATGTTCTTCTATGCAATTTGATACACCTGAAAGAGGTTTTTCCCTGCAGAAGGATGGACCTTTGGACATGAGGATGGATAGTGACAGGTACTTGTTAATAAAATATGTATTCTTGGAACTCAACGGTGTGCTCAGTAACACTGTGTATCTCATTTCCTTTTAAAGAGAAGAATTCACATAATGAAATCATGCCTTATTTTGCTCAAATATACTGTCGATCTTTTGCTACAAGACTTTTCTTAATTTTCAATAATTAGAAACCTGGCTATGTTCCTTTCTTTTTTAAAACAAGAGGAACATTCCAGTGATACGTAATTAATCTAGTAACATTTATCTTAACTACACCATTCAAATCTTACTTTTTTGGTGTGTCTGGTATACAGTTGCAGGGACAAGTTTTACTGTAAGGCTTAAAGATTCCGATAACGTTATGGAAAGCAAAAGAAGATGCCAAATCTTCTTGATTGGACAGGGAGGTGATAGTTCTCCTCTACTTTGCTCTTGTGAGGCTTCATCTGGAATACTGCGTCCAAGTGTGGAGCTCCCAGTACAAAAAAAAACAGGGAGCTGTTGGAGAGGGTCCAGAGGAGGTCCACAAAGATGATCAGGGGATTGGAGCACCTCCCCTATGAAGACAGGCTGAGGAAGCTGGGCTTGTTCAGCCTGGAGAAAAGAAGGCTGCTGGGTGACCTCATTGCAGCATTTCAATACCTAAAGGGAGCCTACAAACAGGAGGGGAATCAACTCTTTGAAAGGATTGATACCCTGGGCTGCCTGGTATTAAATGTGGAGGTTGGTGGCCCTGCATGTGGCAGAGGGGTTGGAGCTTCATGATCCTTGAGGTCTCTTCCAACCCTGGCCATTCTGTGATTCTGTGACACTCAGCCAGAGCTTTGAGATGCATCACAGAATTGTAGGGGTTCAGAGAGACTTCTGGAGATCTTTGAGTCCAACCACCCACTAAAACAGGTTCCCTACAGTAGGTTACACAGGAAAGCATCCAGGGGGTTTTTTAATAGCTCCAGAGAAGGTGACCCCACAGCCCCCCTGGGCAGCCTTTTGCAATGCTCTGCCACCCTCAAAGTCAGAAGTTCTTTCTCATGTTCTGATGGAACTTTCTGTGTTCCAGTTCTGCCCATTGCTCTTTGTCCTGTCGTTGGTCACCACCAAATAGAGCTTCGACCTTCCTCTTGTCTCCCACTCTTTAGATATTTATAATCACTGGAAAGATCCCCTCTCAGCCTTCTCCAGGCTGAGCAGTTCCAGGTCTCCCAGCCTTTCCTCATAGATGCCAGGTGCCCAGTAATCTTTGTAGCCTTCCTTTAGTTCCCTGTCTCTCCTGAAATGGGAAGCCCAGGACTGGACACAGTGCTCCCAGTGTGACCTCACCAGGGCAGAGTAGAGAGGGAAGATAACCTTCTTGCTGGCCTTACTACTTTATTTTTTAAAAAAAGAAAACCAGATTTTAATAAAATATTAAATTAAAATATTTATTAGAATTTCTGTTCCCTTTCATTGGGAATTGAGTAGGAAAGAGAATTTGTTTTTTTCCTTTCTTTCTTTAAAAGGGGAAGCTACTCTGCCCTCCCCTGTTTGGTCATTGTGTGATATTTAGTCTTGGTTTCAGCCAACTTGTTGACTTGCTGCATTGCAGCAAGGTCTGTACAGGCTGTGTTGTCTCCAGGAAGCCGCCTGTGTGGTTTCTTTTTTAAAACAAACAAACAAACAAAAAACAACAACACAACTTGAGGACTGTTTTCTCTTATTTCTGCCCTACCTCAGACGCTTGATCTGCAGGCTCACAATTCATTACTGCGTACCCTTTCCTTTTTTTTGCAACACTTACTTTTCATGGAATGATCACTTGTCCAAATTATGTTCCTCCCTCCTTTCTACAATGGCTGCCTGACCCATTTATTTCTCTTTAAAAGAAACCTTAAATCTAAAAAAAATATATCCTGTTGGTGATATCCAACAGTTAAAATCCGATTGCAAAGTTGCTTTTAGCATACTCGAATAATGTTATACTATTGCACTTTCCTTGGCAGTCTTGCTGGTTTTATTTTGTATTGTTCAGGAGGCACATCAGGCTTATTTAATTGTTAAATTAACAATTACTAAGTGAATCACCTGTATTTAAAATAATCAGTATTGGTGCTGAGTTCATTCAGGAGCATGAAATTACACTTACACAGCGGTTTTCATCTTCAAATGACCTAATATGTATTCCTGTAGTGTTGTGCTTTTTGTGAAAATGACAGAGATCTGCACTGCATAGATGGTGGCAGTAAATGTATAATATATTACTACTAGGAGTATGAAAATTTGTCTCATGTTTTGATGAACGTGTAGTCTTAAGAAATGTAATTTGGTCTTTCGTTGTTCACATAGAGCCTACAGGAAACCCCTGTTCCTAAGCAATTGTTCTACCACATTAACATTAAGACTTAACACAGCAAATTTCTTGGTGCTCCGTTTTTGTATTTTTGTGTAAAAATCTCACATGATCCTACTGGGATTCAGCCCTCTGTTTTCATGAGTCTGAACTTCAGACTTGTATTTGCATCATGAGGACACATACGTGTAACAGTATATAAGAACAAAGGCTACCTGTGGCATAACAAAAGCCTTCTGCTACAGTTGTTGCTATGATACACCTTGCTTCTGATATCTAAGTTTTGTTATCTTTTTTTAAGATTCTGCAGGAGAGTAATGAATGCCTGAAAAATATTCAGCATGCTAGTGTCTTTGTAGGACAGAATTTATTGAGTAGTTTGCATGTTTTTTTCACATTGTTCATCATCTAAGGATTAACTAGTTAATACTTTGAACTGTTTCAATAGTAAAGTGGCACAGATTAAAAATAAACACATGTTTATGACTTATACCCTTTCAATTGTAATAATTCCTTTCATTTGTAATATTGGATCACTTGTATTCTCTCAAAAACAATATGTGGATATAAATTTTTATGCCTCTTAATGAAACGTAACGTTGAATTGTTTTCATAAGCAATTGTTTTCATAGCAGGAGATGTGAAAGAAAAGATCCTTGAATAAAAAACAGTGTATATTGCAAAGTATCTAAAATGAACCCATAAGGGGCAAGTTTATATTGTAAAGCTGTCAAAATAGGAACAGTCACACAGCATTTCCAATTTAGCATGATACTGAACTATATTTATCCTCATCAACTCATTAGACATAGTTTATGATCATACTTGAAAGTTTCAGCTGTTTTAATTGAGATTGAGGAACAGACTCCACTTAAAGTAGCAAGAAGTGCATTTTCATAGGTTTGCTGTCTCTTACTTGAAAACCTCAAAGGCACTTGTATGCACTGTGTGTGTTTGACTTTGTCTCAAAGCTATGAAGCTTCACCTCTTGTCAATGAATACTGACGTCAGTGAACTAATTGGCTCTTCTTGTGCGTAGGTACCCTGACATGCCCACTGCTGCTGATGTTGTGAATGCTTTAGATCAACAGGCACTTGCGTCCATCCTGAGAACATACGGGGAGGAGAAGCATGCCAAGAAAATCGCTTCAGCCATCGTTCAGGCACGCAGCATATATCCCATCACCAGAACTCAGCAGCTTGCAAGCATTGTTGCAGGTACCCTCATTAATTCTTCACAGTGGCTGAAAGAGGAAAAAATATTAATCCCCAAAGTCCCAGAGGGATCTATTTGTACTTGAAATCATGCAGGATCTGATCCTGCCTATTCTGCTCTGATGTCAGTTCTCTTTTTTCCCCTGTAAGTTCCCACTTGTTATACTGTATTTTGCCGATTAGTTTAATAATAGATTTTACATGAAGTGATTTATCATTTTGCCTACCAAGTTAAAACACAGAATGACAGCAGCCTAGGGAATTTTTTGTCCCAGCTATTGGTAAGCATTCAAATATCAGATACGTCATATGCATCTCATAGTTTTAACTTTCTACATTTTAATATTTTGAAGGGAAGTATGATGGCAGTTTCCAATTATGAATGAAATTAGATTTGTTCCCTCTGCTTAAAGAACAAGGAAGCAAAAAGTAAAGCAATACGTAGCTTGCTTCATCTTGTGAATGCCAACTAGAGCAGCCTGAAGCACCTATTGAAACACTTCATCTTACCTGCTCTTAACTGTAAACAACATGAACAAAATGTAGTTAGGCAGCAGCTGTGCTCACATTTGAAACCTTCATGTTTGTATTCTTGAATCAAAGTTTCCAAGGAAAAATGTATGATAGAAATACTGCGCCTTAACATTCTAATATATACTGTTGGTACTTTTTATTTAACCAAGAAGTGAAAATTACTGGGTCTCTAACAGCTATCAATTGTCGACAGCCGAATTTAGAACTTTAAATTGGTTACCCAAATGTATCACTATTCATTACTGAATGTTAAAAGCTTTGTCTGTATTCTGAAGACTTGAAAAAACAATGACAGCAAGATGGATTAAGAACTGATTGAATGGCAAGACTCAGAATATTATGATCAACAACACTGAATCTGACTGGAGAACTAGCTAGTGGTGTCCCCCAGCGATCTGTACTGGGGTTGGTCATGTTCACCTTACTCATCAATGACCTGGCTGAAGGCATAGAGTGCAACCTCACTAAATTTGCTGATGATAGCAAATTGGGTGGACTGACAGATAAATCGGAGGACTACACTTGCATTCAAAGAGACCTTGGAGAAATAGGCAGAGGAAAGCATCATGAAGTTCAACAAGGTCAAGTTCAGGGTCCTGCATATAGGAAGGAATAACTGCATGGACACCAGTACAGTCTGGGGGCTGATCTACTGAAAAGCAGCCCTGCAGAGAAGAACCTGAGTGTCTGGGTGGACAGTGGGCAGATGATGAGCCAGCAGTATGCCCTTGTGGCCAAGAAGGCCAATGGGATCCTGGGGTGCATTAGGAAGAGTAGCGCACCAGCAGGCTGAGGGGATCCTCCTCCTCAACTCTGCCCTGGTGCAGCCACATCTAGAGTACTGTCTCCAGTTCTGGGCTCCCCAGTTCAAACAAGACAGGGAACTGCTGGAGGGCAACCAAGATAGTTGGGGACCTGTAGCATCACCCTTACGAGGAAAGATTGAGAGACCTGGGCCTGTTCATCCAGAAGAAGTCTGAAGAGGGAATCTTATTAATGTGTAAATATATTTTAAGGGAGTGTACCAAGGCAGGGGCCAGTCTGTTTTCTGTGGTGCCTGGCAACAGGACAAGAGGCAACAGGTGCAAACTAAAACACAGGAAAGTCTATCTGCATGTGAGAAAAACTTCTTCACTGTGAGGGTGACAGAGCACTGAAAAAAGCTGCCCAGAGAAGTTGTGGAGTCTCCTCTGGAAATATTCAAAACTTGCCTGGATGTGATCCTAGGCAATGTTCTCTAGGTGATTCTGCTTGAAGAAGCAGGATTGGGCTTGATTGATCCCAAGTGGTCCCATCCAACTTCAACCATTCTGTGTTTCTGTGATCCCTTTATGTTTAATGGATTGCATGTGACTTGATACCTAATGGTCATTTTCTGCCTCAGTGACAGGGTTTTTCTTCTTCTCACGGTAAATACTAATATATTTGAAGAGCTGTTTAATATGTGAAATCAGGAAGGCAGTTTTTACTGTGCATGCCAAGGAAAATTTTTCTGCCAAGACAGTAAATATGTGTTTTGAACTTTTTGTGGAGTCTGTAAGTAAGTTAAAACAGTTTTAGGACCACTACGTTTATCTCTCTTTGAGTAGAAATTTTTGCAATTTTAATTTGATTTCTCCAGTAAATCAAATCAAAGGTAAATCTTTACTAGTTTTTGAACTGAGTATACATTAAGAAAATTTCTGTTAAGTTTAACAGCTCAATTGATAATGAGTTCTTCTGCAAAATGATATCCATGAAGTTATTAAGGTAAACAATAACTAAAGGACCAGAGATTACAGCTGTAAAATCCTCTTGTAGCCCAGCTCAGAAAACCTTGACTAGTTAAAGATTTAAGCAGATTAAGCTCTATGACTTATTAGTTAAATGCCAAGTCCTTAAAAATAAGCAATTAAATCATTATAGTAATAAAATCTCATGTTCTAAATTTTCCAGATTCTATCAGAGCACAATTTTATCTCCAGAACAACAATATTTTCTGCTTGATTAAGAAGCCAGAATACAAGCAAAAAAAGGTAGTCAGGGAGACTGATTATATCTATGTACCCCTTTGTTGATTTGAATACCTGATAATTCATATATAGTTCCTATTCTTTCTTCATGTGATTATTTAGTATGACTTCAGATTTTCTAGAACTCCAAACTCTGTGTAAAGTTCTGGCTGCTAAGTGAATCCCAGTGATTCAAGCTAGATTTATACTAGACTGAAACTGGAAAAGGCAAGTGCTAGTCTAGACTACCTAAGAAACAAAAAGAAAAGAGTTAGAGGATATATTGCTGTTACTAATTGATTGGGAGATAAATTTGAAGGATATAATTGGGAAAAATAAAACAACAACAACACCCACCTCCACAACAGTGGCATGACAATCAGACATTTCTAAAGTTTGTATCAACAAGAATTAGAATGTTAAGGTACAGCTTAGAAAAATTATAAATAGATCTGTATGTTGAGTTTGCCTACAACAGCTTGAGGCTAGCTCAGGTATCAACACATTTATTACAGTCTTTTGTTGCAGTTCAAGAAAACAAGTCCTTCTAACTCTTGGCGCAGAGCCTGGAAGTTGTCTTTCTACATACTATGCCATTGAATAAGAACCTACCAAAAAAAGAAGAGAAAAAAAAAAGTACTTCTAAAAGCTTTTGATCCATTTAAATAAAGAGGTCTCTGAGTAATCTATGGGGTCTAGAGTTTACATAGGGAAAAAAGAGGAATTTTTTTTTATTACTGAAGTGAACATCATCTCTTTCTCCAGCAGTTTAACTCTACTGCTTACAATTTTCATTGCAGATATCTGTGACAATGATGTTCTTAGCTGAACATCTGTAAATAGATGTGTGGAAGTCAACTAAGAAACATTTCTGATGGCTGGTGCTGAAGCTTTTTGAGTTCTGTTTTGAAATTGTAGAATTAACTGGATAGGTGGGAAAACTGGTTAGAAATTCTGAAATTTTTTAGATGTTAATTTTATTGTGTTTTTTCTATACAACTCTCATTTTTTGTTTCAAGTGAGTAATATAATTTTTTATATTTTTGTTTGTTTTCACAATTGGTATTTTTTTGTAATGACATTTAGGTATGTGGTAATCCTTTGGGCTTAACTTGAAAGGAGCTAATGATGAGATATTAAAGAAACAACAGTTTAAAAAGCTTTAATAGGTAAAGCCAAACTCATTCAGATTGGTCCACCTTTATAGACTCGATCAGTATGGAATTTGTAATATTGCCTGAATTTCACAAGAGTGGGAATTAACATTGTACTGAGGGAGCCTAGACAAAAGGACATTAGTTGCGTCACAGAAACTTATTAAATGCAATTCTAATTCAACAGACGAATTCCTGCAAACAGGTGCACAATCTGAATTAATTTTTAAACTCTCCCACACTCATGCACACTGGGGACTTTAATAGTTCTTATTGACAGGCACAGCACGTTGCTAATTTCATTCACAAGCTTAAGAATTTCAATACATTTTAACTTGTGAATCTGTTTCAATTTTAAAAGTGTTAGTAGCATCAGGGCATCCCAAAACTAAAAATGATAATTTCTCTCACTGGGATTTCAGACCAGTTGTCTAGCCAGAATTGTGATGTTTTTATGAATGAAATTCATTTTGCAAGCTTCTCATACAGTTCTTTATATATGTGTTTTTGTACATTGTACAGCCTGTTACCAGGAAGGATTTTGTTTAGTGTTGTGGTAATTGGAGGGGGCTGGGTGAGAGATTTTTGCAGAAAATACAGGTAGATTTTGTTGAACAATATCAGAGGGCTAAGAGTGGAGTAGAAAAACAAAAATCTCTTCTAGCACATAATTTTATCTGCTGTGTTTATTAAAAGAGATGAAGGTCCATATGTGTGACAGAAATCATTACCACAAATTATATGTATTAGCTGATAGCAATTTCTAAAGACAAACCAATAAGCCCTTGCATTTTAAGCTGTTATGGTTTTAGTTAGGATTTTTGGTTGCATAAAACTACTCAGTGGCTATATTTCTTTATCAGTTTCCTGAATTGGTTTCTGTACCAGTATATATGTCCAACGATGCTGTTTGCATATGTTCATCTGAGGCTTGTAATGTGTTAATATATTTACAGAATATATTAGGGTCTTAATTTCTTTATTTCTCTTCCAAGTTTGTCATAAATCTGTGTTGCAAGGATTCGCTTTTCAAATTTACCTCCTGGTTTATAGATATTTTGAAACAAAGTTAATGGTCATAGAAGATTATTGAGGGAAGACATTCAACTCAACCATACTGGACAATTACCTGACCAGAGACTAGGACGTGACTTTTACAAAATAATTTTGAATAGATCTATATATCGTCCTGTTCATTCACAAAAGTCAAAGATATTTTGATAACACAGAACCTAAAACTTTGAGTATTTCACTAAGATTGACTGTGGAAATTTAAGTAAAGACTCTCATTCTAGGCTTTCAATCAATGAGGACTCAGTTTTGTACCAAAATTTCATCCTGTACTCTTGTGAGTTGATTTCATTTTTATCTGTGATACTTTTGGAAGCTGGAATATGCTTAGAATATCAGAAACAGATTATTCACAGAAAGCTAGCAGTATTTTTTAGAGAATATTTAGGCTGCTAAAAAAGACTATTAAAATGCAACAGTGAAAAATGCGGTGGATCTACTTTTAGAGGTGAACACCAGCTATGGATAGTAATAGTCCAAAATTGAAAGTGTAAAACTGACGCTCTTGACGTCACAGCTTTAAATTTTTCAGCAAGTTGCAAGAGAAAGGAGATTCTGTATAAAAGTGGTAGAATAGTACAAGTAAAATTTGGTGGGAGAAAACATGTAGTGCATTCTAAGCCACTAACTTGTTAGTAGGAAATACTTTGTATGGAAACTGCTTTTTCATTCAAGTTACAGTTGTTCTCAGTAGAGGCTTGGTTTTGGTAGAGCAGAGAGAAGGGTGAGGTATGTTTTCAATTTTTTTTAAATGTAGGCTTGGAAGAAGAAAGAAGTAGACTTGTTGCCTGATGAAATTTTCAAATCATTTCATAGTCAAGAACCCATGACTTTTGTAGTTGAATTCAAAAGGTACCCAAGTATCTGATGTGTCTATTTTGAATTCTGTTGAAGAAAAATTTTACTCTGACTGAAACTTAAGACAGGTCTTATGGAGAATGTAAAACCATGTATGTTTAGTCATTTAGCGAATGCAACTGCAATATGTGTGTCCTGATGCATTTTTTTGAATACATTATATACTGATTTTATACTGATTTATATACCTGATTTTGACCCTGACATTTCATTTAATAACTACTCAAGAGTTCTGAGCAAACTCCTTGTATTTGTAGCTATTAGTTGCCCATCTGAAGAAAATAGTTTCCCCATTACGTAGATTATCAATTCCTTGGTTATTTGGTTATGAACTACAATTACTTCAAATCCATTACTTTATAATTTTCTAGTTTAGTACTGGAATGGAATTAAGGCTTTTTAATACATACATGATGCATTGTCTTATCTTTAATGGACCCTCTTCTTTGGAAAAATAATTATTTCCATTTATGTGCTCCTATGACTTCTGCATTTACTTACATAATAGATCATAAGTTTACTCAGGTTTCACAGATCTTGTAGGCTCTTGTACTTTTTTTACTTTGATCCATCAAATCTCCAGTTCTTTGCTCTGTACTTTGATAATGAAGGTTCAAGCCTAAAATACATCAAATGAGGCTATATTAGAGTTTCCATCAAATTTTCAGTCTCTTTATAAAGAGACTTGAATAACTCATAAGAGCTCTGGGGAAGGTCAAGAACAGAGTTTGTGGAGTTTAATGCCACTAGTGTCACCTAAGCTAGTGATTTTTCTTCCGAGTAATTCTTACCTTGGTGTATTCTGCTGTGTCAAAAATTGGCAATGTTAGCTGCATTTTCTATATTTCTTAAGGTTCTTTCATGAACGTTTGAAGGAACACCGGCTTAGTGAGCAAGAATGTTTATCTCCAAACAAGAATGTCTCTTTTAAGCTTTTAAGTAATTAATTGAAAAATACCACTAGGTAAGTTGAAATGAAAACATTGTTTTCATTATATCTCTGTATGAAAATATATGTATTATACACTAGAAGGCAACAGTTAAAAATTAGTGTCCATCTTTTTTTTTTTTTTTTTGACTTGCCTTAAAAGCATAAAATGAACTGTCACAAACAGCTAATGAATTGGTGTTGACTACACTGAGTTGTAAGATGTAGGATTTATCTAGCCATCTTCATTTGTTCCCTATTTTGACTTCAGCTATTGTTTTGCATTTTAACTTGAAGCATTTGAGGAAGCAGTTCCAATGCGTTGTAGGAAAACCTGCAAGCCAGCCCAGTGTAACAGGGTTTACTTTCAGGAAAGGGGATCTAAAGCAGAAGACTAATTATGCATTTAAAAGAAGGAAGCTCACTCAGGGTTCTGTGGTAAATATGCATTCCTTTAAAGTCATCATGCATACATGGATTAAAGTCACAATAGCAATGTGGAAATAACAAAATTGTGACATGTGCCTTTTCAAATATATGACAGGTGCTTTTCCAGCATCGGCATTGTATGCACGAAAAGATCTGCTTCAGAGACCTACACACGTTGCTACCAAAACTTTCCAAGGTCTACGAATATTTGTGAATGATGAGCTTCACGAACTCTTTATAGGGCTGAAGACAGCTGAGAAGTTCCTAAAACCTGGAGGTCGTCTTGTAGCCCTCTCCTTTCATTCACTAGAAGATCGTATCATCAAACGCTTTCTTCATGGAATAGACATGACAGAAAAGTACAATCTTGGCTCAAGGCAGAAGATAAGACGGGCTCTGAAAAATTGTTCCAAGGAAGAAGATACACAAGAATTCCCCCATGGAAAATCCAACTCAAAGTGGACTTTTATACAGAAAAAAGTTCTCACACCCCAGGCCAAGGATATTCTAATAAACCCAAGAGCAAGGTCGGCCAAGCTAAGAGCTGCTGTTAAACTCTGAAATAAAAATGAATCATTATATAATTGTATCATTTCCTACAGTTTTGTTTTCTGGAGGACTACTGGACAGATAACATCAAAGAGAAAAATCAAATGGAAAAGACTGTTAAAAAATGTTTTTCCCATCATTGTACTTCTTTTTCTATTAGGGTGTAAAGTAGAACATCAAAAGGTAAAGTAATAAAATAAATAGAATAAGTTACGTGAGTGGGTGTTGCTGATTATACAAAATGTTTATATTTAAAAAGAACAAGAACTAAAGCTTTTATAAACCAGTTTTGATATATTTAAAATATTTCCTTTAGAATCAACTCAGAACTCTGACACTTCCAGTCTAAATTCAGTAGCTGATTGAGATGGACATGCTTTTTTGGCTGGTGATGTCATACAACAAAGTCAACTGACTGTTCTAACCTAGTATATTTTTTTAAGCTAGCTGAAGAACTCATGATATAAAAAAAATCTTGATGTATAAACCTGTGTCTGTTGATTTGTTGAGTTAACATGTTTGACAGTATGTTGATCTTGCATAAATTGATATCATAACCTTATGCCTAATCCAGGAATTTATGAATGATCTCTTATCTCTGTTAATAAGAAAATATTTACATATATGATAGCCTGGTTATTTAATGTTTATTGATTTTAAATAATGAATAGGTCTTCAGAAAAAAGGCCTCTGTATTGCATTTGGACATTATAAGCAGTGAGCAAACAGCAGGAAGATTTGTACTAGATAATTTGAACTTATTCCTGTATTCCTAAATTCTGCGCATAGGTCAAGTAAAAGTTTCATGTTTTGATGAAATTATTATTAACCAGCTTATTGTGACTCTTCCAAAATATTCTCCTTTGCAGATGATGTTTTAATAAGAATTATTGTAGGTAAGCAGTGACTTTTATTTTATAAGTGAACTACTAACGCCAGTTTCCTACTTGGATAGCATACTAACTAGTAAATAGGTAATATTTTTTTGATTAAGATAAAATGAATTGGATTTAGCTGCAGATTTGTATTGTATTGTAAAAGTTCATTGCTGTTGCTGTTTTTGCCTGTTAATAATGATTACATAATAACGCGTTTCAACTTATTTGACCTCTGACTCACCATTTAAGGAAAAAAAAAGTCTTTATTTGAATATTTGAATAATAAAATCTGTAGCAGGATGTCATTTGCAGAGAAGAGACTGGAGACTGGCAGAGAGAATAAGAAAATGCAGTATTTGACTTTGAGCTAAATAACTACTTCACTAGCTTTCAAAAGAACACTGGATCATTCCAGACTTGACTTTCATCAAGCATCCTTTTGACATTGCTTACTTCTCTGGAGTTTTTTAGGATTATATTGATACAAACAAATTGAAATTCAGATTAACCACCTATAATGTTCATTGAAATACTTGAATATTGTTTAATTCTTTGATAAAGCTTGGTCATGATAACATAAATTAGCAATCTAAAACACCAGGTGAATGATGATGGGCATTTCTGAAATTTCAATATTTTTCACTACTTTTGTTATATGTATTATTAAATATTAAATACAACATTCCACTTCAAATATTATTTGCTGTTGACATCTTAGAGACAACAGATGTTTGTATGAAAAAATGTCTATTTAAGGTAACATTAAATATAAATGGTAAAATTATTTTTAGTTTAGATTCCATATTGAAATGTACTCCAATTGTAGGTTGGAAAAACTGTGTTTCTGCTATATGCTTTGAAGAGTTATAATGCACTGCTATGTGCTGTTCAGGAACATGCTTCAGGGCAAGACCAGCCAGTTGTTGTACGTGCATGGATCCTAGAAACTATATGAAGACATTAAAACTTTATCTTTGGTGAAGGTTGCAATTCCTTTTAGGTTGGAGTTCACAATCATGGAAATGCATCAGTTACTGAGCTCTTATCTGCAGAGGATTGGTTTCATTATTCTCAGAATCTCTTCACCAACCCAAGGTGAAGCCTTACTGGACCTGGTGCTCACCATTGCAGAGAGTATTAGAGAGGTTAAGATGGGAGGCAGTCTGGGCCAGAGGAGGGCCATTAAGATGATCAGAGGGCTGGAGCACCTCTGCTATGAGGAAAGGTTGAGGGAACTGGGCTTGTTTAGCCTGGAGAAGAGAAGGCGGGAGACCTCATTGTGGCCTTCCGATACTTGAAGGGAGCATATAAACAGGAGGGGGAATGGCTGTTTATGAGGATGAATAGTGACAGGACAAGGGGGAATGGCTTTAAACTGAGACAGGGGAGGCTTGGGTTGGATATTAGGAGGAAGTTTTTCACCCAGAGGGTGGTGAGGCACTGGAACAGGTTGCCCAAGGAGGCTGTGGATGCCCCATCCCTGGAGGCATTCAAGGCCAGGCTGGATGTGGCTCTGGGCAGCCTGGTCTGCTGGTTGGCGACCCTGCACATAGGAGGGGGTTGGAACTGGATGATCATGGTGGTCCTTTTCAACCCAGGCCATCCTATGATTCTATGATTCTTCACTTTCAGCCTTGAACTTTCTATAAGCAAAGTCCTTGAATTTTAATTTCTGTGTGCCAGAAATAGAACTTTCTTTTTTCCTCTGAAAAACTTCTGGTTATTTTTAGTTAAAGTATTCTGGTATTATCAAGCCTTGCTTCTGTTTAGTTGGTTAAGTTATATTACCTGAAGGATATTAAGTCTTTATATTTTTTTCCAGGATACTTGTACACATAGCATATGTTGAACTTTCCTAATGTTGCATGTTGTTCATGTCATAGAAGTAAATTGTACTGTTTTTTTGTTGTTGTTGTTTTAACACAATCAAACACAGTATTTGTGAATGTGATGACATCTGTTGGAAAATCAGTCTTAATGAAAATTAAATCCTGCCGATACAAATTTTATATAATTTCTAAAAAAAAAAAAAAAAATTGCCATTAAAGTTGGGTGATACTCAATTTCAAATGGCAAAATGCAAGACCATATAACAAAAACAAAGAAACAAAAACTGTAGCCCATGTTGACAAAGAATGTGGCAGCACCCCATGGTACTGTATGTAGTGGGCAGAGCAAAAATGGCTGATATGTTCAATACTTGTAGAACATCAAATTTTATCAAGTAACATCAAATAGAATATGAAGTAGTGGTAGTAGAAAGGTGGTGGTGTTGCCAAAGAGTGTGTACGTGCAGAATGAATTGCCAGAATATGTCCTTTCTTGTTAATACTTCAGAAGAATTTGGGAAATAAATTAAAAAGATCAAAAATCAGCTATTGAGACTATTCTTATGCATTGTAAATGTACTTTATTTTGAAAAGTATTTTAAAAATCTGACTCAATTATTTAATCCAATAGAATGCAGAGAGTTGATAAGCAAGAAGGTAAGATTTTCATTTTCTTTGTTTCAGAATGTGAATGGTTAATATATTTTTCAAGTAATATAAGGAGTTAATGTCTTTTTTTTTTTTACATCTTACAATTGAGTAATTTCTCAGTATTTTTATAGTCACATCTACTGAGATTGGTACTTGACTGGGAAAAATGTGTGTCAGAAATGTGAGCTTTGGTATACGTATGTTGTGGTATTTGGCAGATAGACGATTGGAAGAGAGGGGTCTTAAGATACTGTGAATGGAAAATATAGTTATTTCTGTATACACTATTAACAAATGGCAATCCTCTAATAGCAAGTGTTGTATAAGGCTTTGCATGCTGCTTTCTGGACTAACATTTCTATTATTATTACTGGTTCATCTAGTAATTTGCTGTAATGCTGCTGTTTATATTGGAAAAGACATGGTATTAATTAGAATTAAGCACCATGAGGAAGGAAGTGTGAGGATGTTTGTCCTGAGGTAAGGAGACACGCGGAGGTGAGATGGTTGTGACAAGCAATCCTAGATGCAGATTGCTGGTGATTTAATTTGATTAATTTAAATTATCTCAGTCTTGACTCCTTATTTGGAGTATCACTGTACAAAAGTACTTGTGAAAAATGAGAAGAACTTGGAGAACCAGAGAAGTAACAAAACCCATTAAGCCAGTTTGTCGCTGTCCTACCTAATGTCTTTAGCATAAGTATTTAAGAGTTCAGACCTGCTTCTCTCATGTCCCCAGAATCTCTCCAATAAGGGGTGTTTTCACGGGATCACAAATTTTGTTTGGACTGCAGGTTTCTCTCTTTATATCCACACATGTATTTTTTTTTTTTAATGTGAAAGTTGTTTAAAAGCAATTAGAATGCTATTACAAGTCTTTCGGAATTAAAGCAAATATGGAGGCCTTTTTACACCTGACATATAGTACAATTAAAGCAGGATTAATTAAAACTGCAGTGTTATAATAAACGCTGCAAAAAATTTGAGTGGAAGTAGAACAACATCTGCCCTTCCTCTCCTCACAGACCTTGTGGAAGATAGAAGAAAAAAAAAGCATTTAATCAAAATGTAAGAAGTAAGCTGTGAAATTGAACACCTTAGTGGAAAAAATTCCACTTTCTGATGATGTTAAGTAAGTTAACTTGAATTTTTAAGAAAATTTCACACACGTATGCAATATTTTTTTTACTTTTTTCATTCACTTTTTCCTGCTGTAGGGTAAGCAGCAGTGCTGAGATAGTTCCATGTCTCTACACGGATACATGATTTCTAATGCATGATCAGCAGTAATAGGGGGGAAGACACATGCTTTTAAATCCAGCTCTGTTTATTCTTACCTTTGTGTCCTTTGTGGTTAGCATTGTGTTTGCCTGTGAATCCAGTGTAAGCTTATCTCAATATAAATGAGATGGAAAGGCTTTTCTTTTTTTCAGAAAACTCAATCTGACTTTATTAAACATTGCATTTAATACTTTTTTACATAGTTTGCTGATGACAAACCGTGCTTTCCGATACCTTTCACATCACCAAAACAGAAACACGTGAACAGTTGTTCATGGAAGTCTAAGCTTAAAAAAAAAAAAAAAAACAAGCATAAACAACAAATGATTGGTTGGTGACATTTCTTACTGTTCTCATGTAGGCATGTTTTTTAAAAATAAAATATTTTCATTATCTCTTATTCTTTAGGAAAATCACATCTTTGCTAGTGCTTTTAAAGCCTAGATTGATTGCTTACAGTGCTCAGACAAAATCAAGCTAGAGATATCATTGAATTTACAATGTTTGTGAATTTAAACTTGACACTTCGTTTATAGCTGTCTCTTTAAAGAGTAAAACTGGAGATACAGCTCCCTCTGTCTGCCCTGGGAATACCTATGCTTTGTTCTTTTTGTAGTGCACCAACAAACGATCAGAGTAACAGCACGTTCAACATGGGGATACAAGGCAAAAAGATGTGGAGAACTGTTATTTCTTTTACAGGTCAGTAGTTGTTTCCACTTACACTAACTGCAGTTTTCAGAGAACAAAGGCTGTGAAGGGGCGAATTCAAAAGGCAGAAAAACAAACTTACTCTCAACTATACATTATTATAGAGTAAAATGTATATGTGAATAAAAATTATTGATATTCATTAGCTCCCACACAGTTTCTACAGAATTTGGCAGCAGAGGCAAATGTACCTCTTTTTTGTTGACATTAATTAAAAAAGATTTCTACGCTGGTGGAAAAATCTGCATAAAATGTAAAAGCTTAGGAGATATGACAGGTACTGCAATGAAAATAAATTATGGTATATAAATCACATCTTAGAATTCATGTATGACATAATTGAGTGAATACTTAAGTTCCATTGTTATTTGTTTACATGTCACATCAGCTTGAGTGTGCAGATGTGAATCTAGCAAAGAAAATGTAATCTGCTTTTCAGGTTTAGGTGGTTTGTAGTTCGTATTTGCACTCAACATATAGTAGAGCTCAGAGAAAATCACTACTATGTTTATGATGATATTAGCATCTTATATTAGCTGTGACTATATTAAGAAGGCTAGCAAAGTTATATCACAAGTCAGTAACTATAAAAATAACTGCAAGAAACCAAACAATCTTGAAGCATGGTGCTATAACTTGTGTGCCAAAATGTGTGGAATACTTAACTCAGCCACCAACAACATAGGCTAGAAAAGCTTCTTTTTTATTTCAAACTATATATTATGCCCATTTCTACACCCCCTTCTTGTAATTTATTTTTCTCCTTTTAATCAAAATTAATTTGATGCTTAAAAAAATCTCTCATAGACTTTACAAGAACCAAAATGGTAAGTATTGACAGCCCTGGCTGACAAGTATTTGAAAATGAGGATATCATAAGAACTGTTTCATATGGTACAAAATATATATTCTCAAGAGTAATGACACAGACATGCCTGTTAATACATGCACAGTCTGAGAGCCTAATCTTGCAACCTTAACTTATGAGAATAGTTTTATTAAAGGCACCGGTTATTTCTAAATGTCCCATTTCTTGAAGTTTTAATGGAAATATGAGCTGAGATGTCAGGGTAGGCAATGAGAGATAGCATTGTGGAGGTAAGTCCAACACTCTAGTAAGTGAGCTTCTATTGGAAGCTGAACAGGCTTGGGGCTCTACCAAACAGAGTCTGCTGAGTACGAGTCCACACTAACTGTCTG